CAGGGAAAGCTGGAAGGGATGCACAGAAAACCGATCACCTAGAGAGCATGTACTGACCACGCTCCAGCCCCTCTCCTCTAGATGAGACAACTGAGGACCAGAGAGGCGAAGTAACATGCCGAAGGCCACACAGCTGTGGGTGGCAGAGCCACCATGAGGACCAGGATCTTCCCTCTCCAAGTGCTTCCCGCAACCCTCATCTGTTTTGGAGCTTGAATTCCTTGCCAGGTGCTGAGATGTTTCTAGCATGATGTTTACACAAAAGTCCCAGCACAGGCACCAACCACTCCACCCGGCAGCTAGCGGAAGTTAGCCGCAGCCATCCCTCACTGAGCACCAGCCGTGAACCACGTCACGTGGTAGAGATGGCCCGCGGGTTCCTTCCACTGATCCGCACAACAGCAGAGAGAAGCAGGTTCTCTCATTGTCTGTGGTGCTGAGGAAGGACCTGAGGCCCACAGAGGCTAAGTACCTTGCCCGGTCTCACGGCGTGTAATTGGCAGCCTCTTAACCCTTCCGCCTCACCGCGATCTCTCACGCTCAGCTCGGGTCAGGAGCCCGCAGGGAGCCGGGAAAGGGCAGGAGCACAGTCCCCACGTACGAGAACACTGTGAGCTACATCAGGATGGGAGGGCGCTGAAGAGTGCCCATGGCTTGACAGAGACCTTGCCGAGTGTTTTACAGACCACGGGCACCACCACCAAATCTCAGGGCACTTCCACGCTCTGGCGTCCATCCCACGGCGTATGCTCAATGTGCTGGAGAGTGGGAGGACAGAGACGCCACTAGCACACAGAGGAATCAACGGACCAGCCGGTGCTGGCTCGGGGGGTGTGGGAGTGGGGTAACCAGCCACGGCCCCAGAGAAGCACCTGCATTTACGACAGGTCCGTGTTCAACCCTTCTGAGCCTAACTTGAACTCTCCACAGCAGCACGGCAGAGTGGCATGGTGGAACACCGAGGGCTCTGTGGCGGCACAGGTATGCGTCCCAGGCCCCGCTCCATTGTCTCTGGTTATACGAACGTGGGTAAGTTAGGTGACCCTTCTGAGCTTTGGATGTAAACTTAATGATGGTTCTCTGCAGGACAGGTGCGAAGGGCAACTCTCAGCACTGAGACAGTGTCCAGTGTAATGCTGCTGCCTAGACCTATGGGCTACCTGGGCACGTCCTTCAAGTCCTGAGCTCTAGCTTTCTCACCTATGAAGAGGGAGTTTTGAGGCAGGGAGATGATATTAGTAGAGGAAGCTCAGAATCCGGTGTCAGGTCACCCACATTTGAGTCCCGGTTCTGTCACTAAGTCATTGTGTGATACCAGGCAAGTTCCTTGACCTCTCTGAGCATGAGTGTCACATCTACAGAACAGTAACAATCACAGTGCCTGCCCCAGAGGGTGGTCAGGACTATCAATGAGTCGTGTGTACAGGGCTCAGAACGGCACGTAGCATGAGTGTGTTCGCCGGCGTTCTGACCTGGAAGTGCCGTCGGGAGGCCCGGAGCGCCCAGTGAGCGCACGGGGACGGCACAGAGTAGGTGCTCAGAAACCTGCAGTCACCTGCTGTTTTCAGGTGTGCATCCCTCCCTGCCTTCTGATAACAGAATCCTTCTCCCCTTCAAGGAACCCACTCCCAGGCCCTGCACATCTGCGCCCCCAAACACTCGGGATGAACACGTGACCCAGACTTCATCGCTCAGAGGACGGCGACTCGTGGCAACAGCGATTTGCTCCGATGTGTGGCCATTTGAACAACCCGCCCTCGGCTCCTTCTGCAGGACTGTTGCCCGGGTGCCTCTGGCCGGGGTGCTCGATGAACATGCCTGGGGGCTTCTGCTTTGGACCGCCATGTCGTGTGCTGTTCCCAGGGACAGAGGGAGGGGCTGGCGTCCCAGTGACATCAGCGAGTTGATGTCTAGTTGTCCCTCACGCCACCCACAGCCATCGCTGAACCCCTCAGGCACATAAACAAATATATTTTCTCTGTGGGTGAGACTAACTTTGGTTGCATTTCTGTCACTTGCTGGTTAGCATTACTATTATAGTAACAAAAGTCCTCAAAAAATATTATTTCTCTTTCCCATCAACACTCAAAACTTGTCTCATCACATGTCCGTAGCTTTTCCAAAGGTGTTTTGTGTTTTTTTTTTTTACATAAACATTGAGTACTGCACAGTTTTTATCTACAGACCGAGCAAGAAAAGGGCGTGTCCGGAGTTGCTGCGTACCCACCCCCCTCCCTGGGGAGTGGGCAGCCGCACGGTATTTGGCTTTCCCTGGAGAGCCGCTTGCTGTGTCCACTGAGATGCAGTTCTCTTTCAAAACAGAGCCGGTGGCGTATGTATACACGCTCGTGATTGTGCAATTACCAATTTCTAATTTGTACCCTGCTTACTTTCCAAAAGGCCCTGGTGCGGCAGACGAAATAAGACAAAGACACAATAGGGCCATTAAGAAAAATCAAAGATCAAGCCTGGAGAGAAAAAGGGATTGTTGATTACAGCCCAAACCTAGGTTAATACAGCTGCTTCAATAAAAAAAAAATTTATTTTGCTCTTAGCTTTCTGGCCGCCGTTCAGAGAGTGTCACAATGGGGCACACAGGGAACTGGGCGTATCTCGTGCCCGCAGCTCGGCGCCCAGCGCGGACGCCGGGCTGGAACGAGCCCCAGGGAGGCGTACTGAACGAGTGAGGGAGGGAATAAATGAGTGGCAGACCAGAGAACCGAAGCTCTGCCCCTGTCCTCAGGTTTGTGTCTCTCCTCTGTCCGCCCACCCGCTCACGCATGCCTAGGCAGGCCATGCTCTGTGCCTGGCCAGGGGTCGGCAGCGGGATGGATACCAGAGTGCGTCAGACGTCGTCCCTGCCTTCCTGGTGCAGCTCTCTGGCCTGAAGAAAAAGCTCAGTGTGATTTATGTCAGTGTTTATAGCAAACACTAGTTTTTTCATTGCTCCTAGAGAAAGGAGTCCAGAAACTGAGGTCGGGAAGATGGGGATTGTGGGAGTATCAATAGGTGTTACAGTCACACAGCACTCGAACCTTAGAACATACATGTACACCGTTATCTCATCAGACACAGCTCCTGGTGAAGTAGGTGGAAGGGGGGAGGGGGTGTCTCCCTGTCCTGATGACCATATTTAGACCCAGAAGGGAAGGTGACTCCCCCACCTCCTACAGTTAGAAAGCAGCAGATAGGACAGTATCCTGGGCTTTCCCACGCCCCCTGCCGCCCATCAGGGTCTGGCCCCAGCAGCCCAGAGGCAGGTTATGATTGCTCAGAATGCCCCCTGGATCACGACCCGCCCTGCACAGCATGGGCGTCCGCTGATGGCACGGGGAGCAGCTTCCGTGGGTGAGAGGACCAGCCCACCTGACAGCCCGCAGCGACCAGACCCCTCCGACCCCACTCGCTCAGAGCCCCCCGGCAGCCCCAGCCTTGGCCACCTTCTGTGTACCTAGAAGGTGACGGTGAAATGACAGATAGATAGCAGACAGTCTGCACTGTTCAGTGAGGAGCAGGCTGAGGAGGTGCCAGGCAGTGCTGGGTGGAGAGACGGTGGTTAGGTGAACGGTTCAGGAATGAACTATACGGAGGAATGGAAGTTCAAAATCAGGGTGATTTCACTGTCTGTCCTCCTGGCATTGCTCATTCAGCCCTGCGAGACACTCGCTGCCCTTCATCCACCCTCACGCCCATCACGGTGGACTCAGAGTGGGAGAGCAGGCAGGGGGTGTATTCTTCCCCACATTAGGCACGTCAGCCAGGCGGCCTGAGCAGGAGAAATGGAACACACAGCAAGAGGAGATCTTGACAAAGAGCTGGTGTGGCCTGGAGACGGCCAGGGAGGTCGCTGTACCACTGACACACCAGCCACAGCTGGTCTGTTCTTGTTCCAACAAAGTGCCCTTTGAAAAACACTCATGTATATAGTCTCACCACGTCTACAAGGATAGATATGGACAGAGATATAGGGTTCTAATTCAGAGCTCATTCTTAAGTGCATACGCCGACATGTGTTTCGTATTTCCCAATTTATCCCGGAAACTACATGCGTTGTTTGACTGCACAGGTAGGTATCGAACACACAGCCACGGTGAATGTGGACGGCGGCCACCACTTTGGCCCTTCCCCAGGAAGGTTAGAGCCTTCCCAGAGAGGCTGCAGATTTCGCTGCCCGACTGCCAAGCGGCCAGACCCGGTGTTGCTCTCCACTCGGAAAGGCACGCTTTGAGCAACCCAGCTCATCCCATAACGCACCCTAGTCAATGCCAGCAGAACTTCCAGGTTCAAAATCGTGGAGCTGTTCACTGTCAATAATTAGCGCCTGCCTAACACCCACAAGGCATCAATCACAATCTCCCCCTTGACGTGAACCTCCAGCTCGTCAGCTTCCAAACTCTCACAAGGAATGCATGCACAGCGGCATCTCCGACTCTCCCCTCCTAGTTATATCCTGGACCATTCCACAAGACAAAGCAAAATTCAAGGTGTTTCCTCCTGTCACCACAAAATCACAGGCCTCCAGACCCAGGGCTCGCCGACGGGCAGTGGTAGGAAGCAGGCAGCAGGCAGGACAGTTCTGGCCAGCAGGGTGGTGACGTGGAAATGATCGGTCCACACCCGTGCCCTCTGGGCCCACCGCAGTCTCCCGTGAGGACACTCGCCTCAGGCCCACTGCAGGGCATTTCCCGGAGGTAAGCTCAGACCCGAGTTAAAGGGGGGCGTTTCCGCCCTCCTTGCGAAGGAATGGTCCACTACCACGGCCGCTCGTCCCCACTGGCCACGTAGGCCGCTGCCCTCTGAAGGAAGGGAGCAAGAAGGTCGGGCCTGGAGGGAGGGGGTGCACAGCGCCCGGACGCCTGCTCCAAGTCTCCACGAGTGAGGTCTAACCGCCAAGTTCCGCGCAGCCCGGGGCTCCACGCGTGAGGGCAGCCCCACCCACACTCCGCGTCACCACCGCGCGGCGAGACACCAGGGAGAGAAGACAGTGCAGCTCTACTCACAGTCGGGTGAGCTTCGGCGTGCTCTGGAAAAGCAGTTCCGGGAGGACCTGGAGCTTGTTCTTGTTCAGGCGTCTAAGGAGGGAGAACAGCGAAAGGATGTCAAGAGGACGTTTCATTGGATCAAGTGTACAATTCACAGACATCATGCAATCAGTCCACAGGCACTAAGACCCTGCAACTGGGGTGCTCGGCACGGGCAGGGCGAAGCCCATCTTGTGGCGCGTGTGGCTCGTCAAGTGGGAAATCCAGTGTGCGGCACAAAGAACGCCCCCTTTTATTATAGAAGCATAAGCGTGTGATTCTGTAATAGGACACTATCACAGTCTAGGACAATATCACAGTCAAGCACACCACAGGACATTTGAGGTGAAATGTTCGAATTAAAGCTATAAACCATTACATCTATACTATTACCCCACCAACCACGCTCGAGCAGGCCTTACTTCTGCCGGACCCTGCATGTGAGCAAAGGTCCCTGGTAAGCAAGGGCCCAGCACAGTCCCGCCCCTCCCCCGTCACGAGCCTGGGAGATGCATCACTAACGATCACAACATTCTTTCCCACGAAACCCAGATAAGCCTTTTGGATTTTTCTCACCATGTGTGCCAGACAGCTATAGCCAAGTGACCGAACTGGCATGTGAAATGGGTCCCTAAAAAGCAAATACCAGAGAAAATATTCCAGCTCCTACATGGTGAGGTGGGAGGGTCACCGTGGCCGGGGGGCCCAAGGGACTCCCCGCCAGCCGGGCTCCGGACGCCAGAGCAGAAGAGGCTGCAGTGTGGCCTTCACGGGCTCTCGGCACTTTTGCCTTTGTGGGCACCTTCCTCCATTGAAGAAAAATTAAATGTTACATTTTACTATTATGTTGATCTAAAAACAAATATACTAATATCATAGGCTATAACTTGGACTTTGACCTGAAATCTCATTTTTTTTCTTCTAATTTTAGAAAAAGTTAAAACGTTTTCATGGGCCCCCGAGAGCACTGTGGGCCCCGGGCACTGTCCCCACCGTGACCAGTGAAGCAGTCGGCCCTGGGGTGGGGACTGCAGCCGAGGTGCGCAGTGTGGCTGGCGGTAAAACCCAGCCCAGTCGGGATGCCCCACGCTGGGTGGGGGCGACAGAGCTCGCCTCTCCCCTGGGAATGGTCCATGCTGGTGCCACAGAAAAGAAGGCCATCTGCTTTCTGAGGGACATCGAGCCGTTGCCATGGCCTCCACGCACCCTGACCTCCTGCCACAGAAGGAGGCCCTGTTCCAGGCTCACCGCCACGCCCCCCTTCCCCGGCACCTTCACACAGTCTAATCTGTAAATGCCTACACCAGTGTCCCCAGGTCTCCTGTCCCCGGAACCCTCTGAGTCTCACTCCCTAGAATCTGCTGGAGGAAAAGAGCAGTGTACTGCCGGGCTGAAGCTCTCCACTTCGAGCGAACCAAGGCGTGCATTTGGCTGCCTGGGGGAACGACAGTGTCCCATTTGAGAGCTAAGCAAACTGAAGGGGGTAGAAGAGGTGAGCTCCTTCTCAGCTTCTGGCCCCAAAGCCCACACTCCCCCCACACACCAGGCAGATATTATTTCCTGGGTGGGGTTTTGCTATTTCCCCCCTTTTATCCCAGGTGATGGCTGAAAACTTCAGAAGGACAGGGGACTGGAAGGAGGTCACAGAGGGCAAAGCCTCTGAGAGGAGCACTGAAGAGCTCCCAGCACAAGGCTGCTGTCAGAAGTGCGCAGCTCGGCCCCAGGGCCCCGCCACAGGCGCCTGCAGCCAGCCTGCCCCCGAGACCCCGGCCTGGGGCGGGGTGGCCGGGCGCTCACGCACACTGGCGGCCTCCCAGGGGCAGCCTGACTCCCGCACCCCTGCTCTGTTTTGTTATTTTTTTAAGAACTGTAAATTGTATTTTTCATTTATGGTTTATATTTGGTACTACTGTATCTTAGTTTCAGGTGTACAGCACAGGGTTTAGATAAACATACACTTTACAGAGTGTTCCCCCCCACTTATTGCCAGTGCCCACCTGGCATGATCCAGTGTTCTTTTAAAATTTTCTTCTAAGCAGTTGTGGTGAAAAAAATTACATTAACGAATGTTAACCATCTGAACCACTTCGAAGTGTACAGTTCAGTAGTGTTAAGCATATTCGAGTTGTTGTACGACAGATCTCCGGAACACCATTGCTGTGTGAGGCCGAAATGCCGTCCCCACTCAACAAGCCCCGTTCTGCTCCCCCAGGGCCTGGCAGCCACCGTCCGTGTCTGTGAACTTGACCAGTGTTCTCTGCTCGCCCCCCGTATCTGCTCTTTGGGTGCTCCTGTCACTGAAGAGTACAGGAAGGGGCAGCGCCAGGGGGAGGAGAGTGAGGATGTTACAGGGTGCAGCCAAGGTGGGGGGCAAATAGGGATTTGGAATGGGGTCCAGAGCTCAAGGTGTCCAGGAACTACTAGGATGTCCCTGCCCCCACCCTCCCTGCCCCAGGTGTGGGTTGGGGGAAGGGACGCATGGAGCAGGGCCATTGAGAGCTGTTCTGCAAAGCAACAGCTTTGCAGCTAACCTCTGGTGTGGTCATTTAACATACCTATAACCTTTACCTGGTTGCATAGATATGTTAAATAGCTGTGGCCATGTCTGAGCCAGGGGGATGGAAGTAACTTCCCCACCAAGATGTAACTGGGGGGCAGGTCCCGAGAGTTACAGCACCTGTGTGGGAGATTGGAGAAGACTGGCTCCATGACATGGGGCCACACCTGCCCAGACTCACGATGGCAGCTCAGTGAAGCTGGAAGGAGATAGGAGTGCTGGCAGGTGTAGCTGATTGTGGGAGGAGCCGGAAATGGGGCTGCAGAAGATTGGCGTGGGGATTTAAACCCAGATGCAGCAGCCATTGAAGGGGAGAACCACTTGGTTTTGGCTGAGTGGGGACTCCCTTGGGAGTCCTTGCTAATAGTATATCATCCCAGGCCCCCCCCTTGTTGTTCTGTAACAGTTTTTGGTGACCCAGGTGGGACGATAATTGTCCGTGGCAGACCAAACCCTCAGGTGCAAGAGAGTGAGACTTCGGAGTTTTCCCAGTCTCGAGAATTTCTCTGCGATCCTCCTGAGGGCACTGGCCTCCTATCACGCCTGGAAAAGGTGAAAAGGAAACGAAACGGGGAGGGAGCAGAGACGTGACAATGGTTTGGCTGAAAACTGGTTTCTGAGTGCCCTTTTGGAATAATGGAGTTGTGGACAATGGTTTGGTTAGTATGTTGCTTCCAGGTTGCTCCAGTCTGCTCATTTACAGTTTCGGTGAGCCCAGGTGGCACTAAGGGAACCTGTACTCAGGTGTGGGGAGAAAGCAAACCCCTAGGCTCTGTGAGCCGAGCCTGCATGTATAGTGGGGATTGGACAGCAGGCCATGTGGGTATGCTGCCATTTTGGGTAAAATGGAGGATTGTAACAGGGTGCAGCCAAGAGGGGAGCCCCAAATAGGGATTTGTAATAGGGGTCCAGAAGAGCTTGGAGATAATTGGCTCCACACCACAGGGCCACACCTGCCCAGAATGCGGGCAGCTGTGGCCAGTTGTGAGAGGAGCCAGAAATGGGGCTGCAGAGGAGGATTGGCGCTGGGATTTAAACCCAGACGCGGCAGCCATTGCAGGGAGAACCACGCGGTTTTGGCTGAGTGGGGACTCCCTCGGCCCTGGGAGAGAGAACCTTGTGACTTCGCCAGAGTGGGGACCCCTGCAGCTTTAGAAGGGGGCACCACCACCCAGCTTTAGCAGAGATCCTGACGACACAGCTGAAGGTGCCGGGAACCGAAGGAGGCCTACCAACCAAGACAGATTACTGGGAAGGACCGGGGGCTGCCTGAGCCACGGACTTCTATTTCCTTTCCTGAGATGTGGTACCCCAGACTGGGCAAAGGGGGAAGGAAGGACTGAGTGTGTTTGTGGGTGTTTTAAGGGACTTTGGGATTTTGATGAAGACATTAGGTCACTATTTTAAGTTTGTATAGTATTAAATAAACATTTCCTTTCCTTTTCACGAATCTCTGGCATTGAGAGATGTCTTTCCTCTGGAGGCAGACAAAACGAACCTGGGGGGTTCCTTTTGGTAATAGTATATTGTCCCAGCCCCCCCCCCCCGTTGTTCTGTAACAAGGAGGCACCTAGCTCCTTACTTAGAGCAGTCCCCATACAGTCAGTGACAAGTCCCTCTAAGTCACGTGCGAGCACTGGTCCCAGAGAAGGCGTGGTCCCACGACGGGATGGCTAGGGCAGAGTTCAGGTCTGCTTATACCAACAAGTTCTCACTGTGGCACTTGGAGAAAGTTGCCTCGCCCATTGAGCCTCCGTTTTCCATCTGCAAAAGAACCCTACTCACTGGGCTGGCGTAAGTGTTCAAGATGCAGGGTATGCAGAAGGGTCTAGCACTGCAGTAGCGGCATGGCAGCGAGAATAAAAATGGTGCGTGTTGGGTCCTAACCACGTGTCAGATGCCTTGCTGCGTGCTGGGTGGGCAGGATCTCGGGAGCCGAGCTCAGGGGCGGAAGTCATTACTACCCGCATCTCAAAGATGAGGACCGAGCCCCAGAGGAGCTGAGTGCGCTTCACTCGGCCACAGTGTCAGGAAGTGGCAGGGGCAGGACTTGGACCAGGTGGTCTGCCTCCAGAGCCCTGGTTCCCAACCACCGCGCAACTCGAAGCCCCTCCACGAAGCAGCTCCCTTCCCCTCCCCTCCTCCGCCCCAGCGCAGTCATCCCTCCACCCTGAGTGCATTTCCCTCCCTGAAAAGACTCTCTTGGAGGTCCCTGAGGCCAGAATTGAGTCCCCATGTGGGTCTGTCTGGGACCACCCTCTATTGTCACAGCTGCACAAAGCCTGGTGACAGTTATGCTCAGGCAACCAACGCTCCGGTCTAGGCAAAAATCCTGCCACCCGGCGGACTGCTGCCTGCGTGCTAAAAGCCCAAAACCAGAGTCAAAGCTAAAAATAAAGCCAGCTTGGCTGTAGGAAGGGAAGGACTCGTTTTCAGTTCTTTGCCGGTATTTGTGGCTGGACAAAAATAAAAACAACCAAATTTAGCCACTTGT